ATTTTAGGCCACATTAGTGCCTGGGACCAAATTTGACTCCCCGGCGCGCCGGTTTCGTTTATTCAGTTCGTAAAAGAGAAGAGCTTTTCAGCGAGCTCTAACTAATAGCAGGTCAATTGCTAGAGCGATATATATATACGTCCATCCATCAGTCGAAACGGATAACCTCCGAAGAGCAATATGTTCGTCACAGCTTCACAAAGTGACCCAGGCAGACTCAAGCTGAGTCGACGAATGTTACTTTGTATAAGCCTAAACCGGTGGCTGATCTTTTTTAAGCTACAAACAGCAATATGCCGTTCCCTATGACTGCTGGTTTTTTCTGAGAAGATTTTTCATAGCAGTCGTACAATTGGAGATTTGCCATTGCCTAACGCGAGGCTATTAGAAAAGGGGATGTTGGTCGGAACAAAAATAGAACTAGGACCGCACGGTATGGTAGTACGCATTGCTAGGCATTCATTGCCGATTTTCAAATATTCACACTTCAGCCGAACTTTAATATCCGGACGTAGAAGAAAATGTAGTTGAAGTCGAAGTTTAGGCGTTCTTATTATAATTTTGACTTCGATCTGCGAAGGTTTGGTACGTGTTCATACATGTTATACGTTAGTTTCAGACCTTCTGAAACAATTAATTTGCCTAAAACTTAATAGGCAATAATTCATTTTTTTACGAAAATTAAATGAATAAAACTTACGCAGAATTCACAATAAATCCTTTGTTTACTTACACCATTTGCATATTCCTAAATAATAATGCAAATTTTTCTTTCTCTTTCCAGGTGTGGTTCAAGAACCGTCGCGCCAAGTGGCGTAAGCGCGAGCGCAATGCGATGAATGCGGCTGTTGCCGCCGCCGATTTCAAATCAGGCTTTGGCTCACAATTCATGCAACCGTTTGCTGATGACTCACTCTACTCATCATATCCCTACAATAACTGGACCAAAGTACCCTCGCCGTTGGGTACGAAACCCTTCCCGTGGCCGGTCAATCCACTCGGCTCCATGGTGACCACCAATCATCATCAGAATTCGGTGAATTGCTTCAACACCGGCGCCAGCAGCGTTGCGGTCAGCATGAATAATTCCATGCTGCCGGGCACAATGGGTTCCACGCTAACCAATACCAATGTCGGTGGCGCTCCATGCCCCTACACCACGCCTGCCAATCCGTACATGTACCGCGCCGCCGCCGAACCGTGCATGACGTCAAGCATGTCATCGAGTATCGCCACACTACGCCTGAAGGCCAAACAGCACACCACCGGCTTTGCTAGTCCCTATTCAGCACCATCGCCTGTGTCGCGCTCCAATTCGGCGGGTCTGTCGGCATGTCAGTACACCGGCGTAACTGATGTTGTTTGAGAAAACGCCCTCGGGGCATTGCTTAATCAACATCAACATCATTTACATCACTTCTCCGCTAGTAGTGGCGCCGGTGTTTCATCTCACTCGCCAAATATTAACAACAATTTACATCATTTACACAACAATAATAATAACAACAATAACTTGTTGAATAACAACAACCTGCTGCTGGACCATAATGGTGATCTGAGTGTGGGTGTAGGTGGTTTGGTGGGCAACCACAGTAGCCATAGTAACAAATCGCCGCTGGGACATCAGCACAGTGATATGGGGGATGGCAACGGTGTCAGAGGTGGCAATGGTGGAAATGGGGGTGGTGGTGGTGGCTCAAACGCTATGCTAGGACAGAATGTCAACAATGATGGTGGCGAAGAAGTGGAGGAGGTGATTGACTAAAGACGGCAAATGTGAATTAATTTTGTAGAGTTAATGTAATTCAAAACAAACAAAAAAACTAAAAATTAAATACTTAAGGGGAAAAAACAGTCGAAGTCTCCACAATATTTGAATATTTGGAGCTCGAGTAGTTAAGTGCATGAAAACTAAAAATCAAAAAAAAAAAAATATTTGTTAATTGTAAAATATTGATAAACTGAAGAAAATTCAGACGCATAGTTTTAAGTAATTGAATTAATTGTAGTTAAAATGATGAATATTTGTATTTAAAATAAAAAAATCAGTGAAAATTATAAATAAAGAATACCCAAAGAACAATAACTATTTTTAAATTCAGCCATTGCGGTAACTTATATATTTAAATATGTATTCTAAGTAAAAAACGACAATTTTGAGTTTTCGTTTAACATTTTTTTTTTTTTTATAAAAAGACAACTACTTTCTTGCGTTATGTTTTCACAATCTTTTCTTTTACTTTTTAATGTATTTACAAAAAAAAAAATCTGTAAATAAATATAAGGTACTAAATAAAACTTGTATATGTATCACGCGCATTGTAGACAAAATTAATTCAACAAAATTATGCACAACTTGCTGCTCAGTAAAAAACAGTAAAATTCAGAAACAGCTACAAAACATATTTTGCTCCGTTTTTCCATCGCAACAGGATTTTTTTCAAACTTAACTTGAAATAAATAGTTCTAAGTAAATCGTGTAATAACATAATCAATCAAACAAACAACTGAAAAAAATATTGTAATAAAAAATTAATATTAAATAAAGTAAATGCATAACTACACCACTAACAGTTTTTAAGACGTTGTCTAGTCGTGTAACTAAAACAAAAACAACAAGAAGATAACGATAAACACAAACCACTAAAAGCGTGAAAAGTAAATAAATATAATTATTAAATACTAAATTTTAAGAAATATATCTGAAAGTGAACAATAAAAAAAAATTAAATTGAATATTTTCAAATCTTTTTATATTTGCGGGAAAACTCCAGAGAAATTGTACTTTTTTGTCTTTACTAAATCGGGAAAACAAAAATTCAGAGTTGCAAGAGATTTTCGTACACATGTTTGAACAAACTAGGGATGTTACGAACATTTCCATTCGCATTCGCTTATGCGAATAATTAGCATCATTTTAAACATTCGCATTCGCATCAAATATTGGGAATGCCTTGCGAATCCAAATATTTAATAATAATTATAATAATAATAATAATAATAAATTGGCACTTGCACAATAATGTTCAACAAGTTCTGCTAAAAGTCGTATTAGCAACCTAAAAGGAATTTTATATTCCTCGAACGAAAGCGAATGATCGGATGTGGTATCTGGGGCATTAAGAACTGCGAAGTCAAAGATCAATTGAAGGCCTATCTTAAGGAAAAACGTGGCTGGATGTAACCCCTCTCGATTGGTGGAAAACTAAACTAAAATACTAAAAATTAACGGTTATGGCTCGCTATTAATTGAGTGCCTTCCATCAGCGTTCAGAGTGAGCAATTCTTCAGTACAGCCGGCCTTATACAAATATACCAAGTGACTTATATTGCTGCTTTCGTACGTCGAAAGAGGACTTAACTCCCGAAATGCCCACTCAATCCAAAGTAGCACTTGCTGGCAAGAGTGATTCTGTGTTGGATGCGATGTTGATATTATTATCGGTGCTAATACTGATTTCCAAGTAAACGAAATTCTGTACGAAATTCTGGCGAGTGCCAACGCGCCAAAGAGCTGACACGTATTGACGATGAAGTATTCATCTTGTTCTCCTTGACCACCATACCCATTTGCTTTACTTCCCAATCCAACTTGGAACAGGCAGAACAGACTTCGTGTTTCTTGTTACCAACGATGTCGATGTCATCCGCGTACGCCAGCAATTGCAATTTTTCCTGAGCAATTCAGTTCTGTAGCTCCTATTAGCTTCTCCAATATCAGATTAAAGAAATCACATGAAAGGGAGTAACGGAGCTGGAGGAATTGCTGGAGACAGCCACATAGCCTGATGTATCTTTTTGTTGTTGAACCTAGTACTGCATACTACCATGTTTCGGGCACCGGTGAAGTCGATAAGCCTCAGTCCGTTATCGGACGTTTAGTCGTGGAGGCTGAATTTTCCGATAATGGTTCCAAAGATCCCTTCTTTGCCCACCGTGGCATTAAAGTCGCCAAACACGATTTTCATATCGTGACGGGACAGCACTCATATGTACGCTCCAAGCGCTCATAGAAGAGATCCTTGGACGCCTCGTCCTTCTCTTCCGTCGCACATTGTTGCCTTTTTCAATTTTAGCGTGCCAAAAGTGCAAAATAAAATGAATTCAGATGGCCGTGATTTTTGGCATTCTGGCTGACAAATATTCCGCTACTAAGTCAATCTAATAGATGCATAAGAAAAACCAAGAACAACAAAAGTCGGTGTCAAACGTTGCTCATTGTGACGTAAAAATATTAATTTTTTTTGAGTGAAGTTTTTCGCATATTTTTAAGTGGCAGTACTTTTTTGCGAAGTTATTTTAAAATAATTGTTTATGCGTGATTTAGTTTCAATATTTTCTAATTTTTTTTAATAAGTTTCCAAGCTGTAGTTAAGATAGATAATTTTCTATATATTTAAACAAAAAACATTCCAAAAAGTAAGTTATTGTGAAAACATTAAGATTTTTACTGGAGCAGATCTTTCGAATCTAACTTCATCTAATCTGGTGTTTATATGCAAACTAATAAGGAATATTTCTACTTTTAGATTTCGTAAGCACTTTTTGCACAAGTCTGCACAAATTTTTTGATTTTCATTAATAAACATGACAGTCATCCGAAGCGCACTTTTTGACGAGTGGCTTGAAGGCAAAAAAGATGATAATAATGGTGCTGTAATGCAATATATTTTAGAAAAGGTGGGAGAGGACATTGACCATGAAAGATTAAAAGAGTTTATCGGTAAGATCGTTGTCAATTTCGTTTAAAATGGGGCCGCTGCTTTCGTATGAAGTCCCGTTTTCTGCAGCTGCACTCCAACTGGTCGTCGCAAAGTGTGGATTTATCCGACTTTTTTCTTGACGTAACACCGTATTGACGTAACATCAATATCATAGGTACATCCATTTAATAGTTACGACTTTTGGCACGCTAAAATTGAAAAAGGGCACACTGTGCGTCAGGGCGCAAATGAGCGAGATGTTGAAGCATCTCGCTTTGATGCGGATTGTGGCTAGACGCTGGTCCACCGGGCGACAGTACTCGGCGTAGGAGTCTCTCTCCCACCACAAATTCGACACCGAATTTGAGCTCCTTTACATGGCAGCTGTAATGAATGAGTCTATGCGGCTATATGTTGCGTTTCTATTTTGTGTGTATTTCTGAGAAAACGGCTATTTCCGTAGGGCGCAACTCAATAAAGAAAGGAAAAAAGGCTGTTTATAATATTGTTGCTGCAAAGAAAGGTTGCTCCTTTTAAATTTTCAGTAGGCAAATGAAGAAATTCAGACTTTTTAAGTTTTAAATTATAATTTGTTTAATTTGCTACATTTTTCAAAAATTGCCTCTGTGTAAACGGGTTTTATAACTAAGGGATATTTTTTTCCTTCCGCAAATAGAAAAGTGGTCTAGGGTTCAAATATTTTTTTTTTTGGTACAAAAATGTGGGAAATCATATGATAATCGGCTCATATGAAAGCGGCTGTTATTTTATCATCCACGTGTTTAGCCGCATCTGGTTCTAGCCAGAAAAACAGACTATTAGACCAGAGTGCATAGACGAAGAGGCGGCAAATTATCTTCTCTGAAATATAATATGCTTCTATTGAACTTTGACTATTAAGCTTAGAATCCAGCTCTCAAGAAAAACCACAAGAAATATTTTTCATTATTTCTGTTGCTTGAAAAGCACTGTCAATTTTCTTGAGAAAATAAATATACGAGCATTTTTTTCTTGACAGCGGCTAACTGATTTAAGAAACTTTTATAGAAGAAAATTTCTTTTCCATTTCTTGTGCATCATTTTGTATAAATTTTCGTTTGTCTTGGGAGCTGGAAGCAGCCCTTTAGAGAGAAACAATGTATCTATAGGTGTAACACTGGTGCAATGTTCTAATTTTTTTTTTATTCCAATTGTAATTTATACAATTTGTAAGTAATAAAAAACAATGACTTAAGTTGGTTATAGCTTTTTTAATTCGCGAATGTGAAATATATTTCTATGCCAAGTACGCAATTTCATGCGAGTGGTACCAAAGAAGTGTTAAAGTTTCGCAACCCTGATGTAATTTAATTCGATCTGACATTTGCATCGCAGAACTAAAAATTTTTTATTTAGTTACTTAAAATTTTCAGTTAGACAAATAAAAATTACAGTTCAAAACAAAGGTTTTCTTTGCATGATTCTTTTACAACTTTCGATAACAGTGCATCGATTAATATGGTTCGACTTTTCGTATTGTAAAATGCAGGGTTTCCCTTTATATTTTTTGAACACAAAATAACCAGTCATTTTAAAGCTTATTTTTAAGGTATTAGTGCAATCAAATTAGCATCAAAAAGTGGTTAACATTCGATATTTTACTTGGTGTTTAATTCTTTTTAAAAACGGCAAAGCTAGTCACAGGAAATGTGAAACTTCATTTGCGGGACTGGGGAGCTGTGGAATCGCCGCCTTCTTGAAAACAAAGATGATCAGCGCCTTTAGCTCAGGGAAAAAGTTATTTTCGGACCTTAACCAAAGTCAACACAATGTGAGTAATTATACATACATACATGGTAGTCGAACCACGGTAGGACTTTGTGCCACCTTAACAAAACAATTTTTTATAGAGGGAAGTCTTTTTGGGGCAAAATAACATTATTTTTCATGAAAAAGAGTTTAATTATGCGAAAAATACACCACACAAATATTTATTTGTGCAAATACCATTTAGTACAAATAAGAATCGAACAAGAATTTGGAAAAATCTTATTTGTACTAATTCGTATTTGCACAAATATTTGTGTGGTATATTTTGCGCATTACGTCAACTAAATATATTTTCCTCAATACATGATTTGGTTATAGTTGCCAAATCATGTGTTGAGAGAAATCTATTTGAACTGACTTTTTCTAAGTGCATTAATCCATAGAAAATTTTCGTCTTCGTTGACGCCTCGTAAAATGTGATGCTTGATATTTTGGGGAAGCACGTTGGCCCCATTAACTACCATTTTCGCAAAACTGGCTCAAAAACACTCGTTTATGTAGAAGTTGAAGGGTTAAAATTTACC